GGGCCAGGCGCTGGCCGTGATCCAGGAGGGCGTTGCGGAAACGGCAAAAAGCGTCGTGGATGGGGAGGAAGAGGAGGAAGAGGGGGAAGAGGAGGAGGAGTCCGAGGAGATGGAGAAGGAGGGCCCCGTCTGTCGCATGCGACGACACAGCATCTGCTTCTAACGTTTGGATGTCAAGATGGTAGCTTTTGTAGATAGAAGGGTGTTGCAGCACCTTCGAAAGATGCGCTTATGTGTACAGTTGTTTTTCATTGTATGGCTCAATTGATTGTAGTTTTGAGTAGAATCACTGAAGTATAATGCGGAGAGCAGAGAAGACGTGTGAAACCCGGCCCATATGTCTCTTAAAAGAGGAAAGCAGCGATCTGATTGAGAGGTTGGTGACAGTGACTTGCATCACACGCATCACTTATTTGTCTGAGCAAGAAAGCGCCCATTCATGATATGGCTTGTGGAAAGGTGAATGTTGTTCTTATTGAGAGCGAGGAGAAGAGTCCAGTGCGAGGAGTGGTGTGGCCTTTGTCCTCCACGGCAGTGTCAACAGCTCCACGGCCGGGATCGACTACGATGGCGTAACAGGAGGAGAAAGGAAAACTGCGAAGGCGAAAGAAGGAGTGCGATCGGGGCAGCACCAGCTGTGAATCTTGAGTGTAATGCTTGACATGTGAAGCGAGAGGTTACGAGTAATGTGCCACGTGTCAGAGAAAGTGAGGGAAAAAGGACCGGATGATGCTCCCAGGAGAAGGATGGCTGAGCCGAAACAAGCTGAGACCTGTGCTGTACAGCTCAAAATTGAAATGAAAAAAACGTTGCGCATGGTCGGAGGGGGAAAATAAGTGAGGTGCAAAACCAGAGAGGAGAATAGAAGAGGGATAACCGCCGTAAAAAGAGAACCATTTATGGACATGCGCACACACATGCGTCTTCTTGGCCATGACGCAACGTGTGCGTGGTATCTGATGCCTGCAGGACAAGTTGCCCCTTTTGAGAAGCTGAACATCAAGGAGCGGGGTACAAATGGGGAATATGAGGGACTATCCACGCATTGCGTGAGGGCGAGACGGAATGTGTGCGTCCCCTCCACCATTACAGGCTGTCAGAAGAGGAAAACGGTTTTAGCTCGTCATGTCTGTTGTGTTTATTTTGGGTGTAAGAGTCAAGATAATTGAGTCAGCAAGGCGTCAGGCTTCCACTGCAGTGTCCGTTGGGATGCACCAAAATAATTTAGTGTCATGAAAGTGTGATTGATGCCTCTCTGAGAGGATTTAAAGAGAAGCGTTGCTTTGAAGAAGATGGCCTTATCCAGATGAACATTCGTTGTCTTTATTTTGATCATGATATTGTTTGGCTATCGCCATCCTAAATAATATGGGACTGTAATCCATCCGACCAACGTATCCGATCCACACGTCTCACAACCCTCATACGGTACACATATCCCTCATACGGTATTCCTTGGCACATGGACTAGCTTCCTACTTCTTGTCCACGTCCATCTTTTCTCCTTCGCTTTCACTCTCTTCCTCGTCGCTCTCTCCCGGCAATACAGAGAGGGACAGGTCATACTCCTGATCTGCTCCCATGTACGAGTCACAAATGAAGTACAGCTTCAAATCATGATCGCCCGCCTCTGTGGGGGCCGCAAAGTTCAGCCGTGTCCGCGTTCGCTTTGCCACATTGTTCACCCTCTTGATAAACAATAGAGAGTTCCTGGCGGGGTCTCCCACGATCAACCACCAAGCCTCCATCTTGGGCTTCGGGTAAAGAGGGGCCACCACTTGCTTTGTCACAGGCACGCCTCCCTCCTCTTCCTCCCCGCCCTCGGTTTCACGCTCCAGGGTTACCACGACACTGATCGGCTTTCCTGCCACAACACTGTCCACCCCGCCCACCACTTCCCATTCCAAATCAATGTTTGGATAAGCATTGCAAAATCTAGCCACATCTGCCATTTTTGCGGGGGGAAGCTGGAGCAGCTTCTCGCGGACATCGTCATCTAATTCCAAGATCCCAAGCGGGCTTTCCACAGGATCTGCAAGTGCTTCGCAACGCTTGACGATCTCCTTGGTAAAATGCGGGATCTGTAAGAGGTAACTGTCCCGGTCCCATAGGCCCTGGACCACCATCTGACACAGCTCCATAGCGGCAATGCAGGGTTTGAGCCAGCACTCCGAAGAGACGACGTCCACCAACGCCTGCAGCATCCGAGGCGCTTCCCCCACCACTGACCGTTGGTCTTGCCGCAACTCTGTCGGTAGGACCATGCGAGAGAAATGGGCTTGGAGCAAAACCAGGGCTTTCACATGCGTCTCCGTGAATCGTGCACCTTCTGGGAGTTTCTGGGGCAAGCGTGTGGCAAGCTGCTGCAGCACCCTTTCCTCCCCCTGTCGGATCGCCAAGTCCCCATACTCGGAAGCGGACGAAAGGATCTCCAGCAGGCCCTTAACCTTCGTCTTGGCCGTGACAGACGAAGCGAAAAGCTCGATCGTAGTGTATTGCACGTAGTAGTACGCCGCAATCATTCCCAAATTCAAGGGAGAGAGCTGTACGTCCTCCTCGACTTCCAACATCTTAGCGCGGGCCAGGTCCTCAACCACGCTCTCAACCAGATCTGACAAAAATTCAGAAAGTTGCCTAGAGCCCACCGCCCGAAGGCCATAGTAGTTGGGGTTCTGCACCAAGCGCCGATAGAAAAAGGTCCAGGTCAAAATTTGTAAGGCTTCATGCTGCGTTTCCACAGTCTTGTTCACCACCTCGGCATTCAAATGGTCGTGCAAGAAGTGGTTCAAGTGGCTTTCTACCGGAAGCGGTTCGTAAAGGAGTCGCTTGAGGTACTCCTTCTTGGTATTGTGGCACATCACGACGCACAGGCCCAGCCTGTCCTTCCCAGGCCTGGACGCGAGCCCCATCATTTGGAGCAGATCCGTCATGGGGTAGTCGACGTACCGATGCTCCCGTCCTTCGTAGTACTCGGTGCCCATGATCACCACCGCATGCGCCCTGGCCGTCACGGACCAGACCATAGACTGGGGGACCACCACCACCTGCAGTATCCCCGCCTCATACAGGTCCCACACCCGCCGACGGTCGGTCTCTGCCATCCCTTGGTGGACAAAGCCGACCCCTTTGGCGAGCGTATCCCGAAGCACGACTTCCTTCACGCCTTTGCCCATCCCCTCGTCGTCCTCCGTATCCTCCTTTCCAGATCCCCGCAGAAATTGCTTCGGGTCTCCAGCGGCCGCCGCGTAAGTAATCAAGTCGATGGCCGTCAGCTGGGCTTGCTTGCGGGAAGGGACGACGACCAGAGAGGGCTTTCCATCCTTACCCCCGTGGCCCGCCACTGCGTTATACACAGGTTTGGCCATGCTCAGCATCCTTGAGGAGAAGTGCGAGATCTCGAAACCTTGCACATGGATCTCCAGAGGCACGGGCCGCACGCCCGGCACATCGGGGCGGAAATTGAACAATCCGTGCGCCGTGGCTCCAATCCAGTCCCCTATGTCCTTCGCATTCGCCACACAGGCCGCCAGGCCCACAATCCGCACCTTTCGTTCCAATTCAAAAGGGAAAAGGCGCATCCGGCTGACCACCATCTCCAATGTCGAGCCTCCGGATGACCCGATCAAGTGCAGGTCATCCGAGATGAACAGAGACACCTGTTGCACAGCTTTCCGCTGCCGCCATCGACGGGAGAGTACATCCCAGGCCTCGGCGGTAGAAACGGCGACGTCGGCACTTTCCAAAAGTTTGTTGTCCAAAGTGGCGTCCCCGGTCAACATCACCACGCGCTTGTTCAAGGGCCCTTTCTCTCCCAACAGGCTCGCCCAGTCGGCGTATCGATTCTTCACCGCCTCCGCCTTGCTGTGGACGTACACAACTTTCCCACCCTGCCCTTCCCCGTCCCCCTCTGCCAGAACCTGTAGCTTGAACAAGCGGAACATGGCAAACTCGGCACAGAGCTTTTTGCCCGATCCCGGGGGGGCGCATATCAAAACGTTGTTGTCCGTATCGTAGAGTTCTGTGAAAGCCTGAGTCTGGAGTGCGTTGAAGTGCGTGTACCCACGGGCGGCAAGCACGGGCTCCAGGAGAGTGGGGGCCCGGAGGGCGGAGATGGGTAGGGGTTGCAGATCCAGAAGCTCCGTGTGCGGCGGAAATTTGTTCGGGAGGATCAGAGAGCGGAAAGAGATGGCTTGCACTGTTTCGGAATGCAGCCATCGATCCGCCACCACCCGGACGAAATATTGTGGCGGCAGGGGATCGAGGATGGGGACAGTGAAATTGACCACGTGCTCGTCGCCGGCAAAGGCCGCCTTGAGCAGGAAGGGCTCATAGTGTAGGATCTGTTCTTGATCCGCATCCTCGACCATGATCCAGAAGAGCACCCCGTTCTCGTGCACGTCCACGTTGAAGATGAAATCCGGATGGACGGTCAACTCGACCTTGAGCAAGGATCGCGTGATGGGCTGCACGTGGACGGACAATTCGACCTTCGGGAACTGGTGGACAAATTGATGGAGGGGTTTGCCCATCCGAGGCAGCTTGATGAGCTCCCCCAAGTCTTGTGGAGTCATGTCGAAATACCTTTCCCAAGGGATGTCCTTCTTCTCCAATTTGCGAGCGATCGCTTCGGGGATTGCCCGAAACTGTCGGAGGGGGGATTGAGACAGCCACATACGCCTTTCTGCCATCTTGCACAGGTTCAAAGTCTTGTCCGCCAAAGCCGCCCAACCTTTCTTGAGCGAGATCTCGAATAAAGCCCGCATGATGCGATTCGCCGACTGCTGGACGTATTGCATATCCGCGACCAGAGCAAAGCCTTCCAGCCGGAGGCCAGAGATATAGGCCTGCAGGAGGACATTCACCTTCGCAAGCGAGTCTTCTATAGAATCCTTGATAGGGATGGGCACCCGGGCCGCCAGTTTTGCCAGTTCCAACTTCTCTTCTTCGCGCACGTGGATGTTCTTGAACTCCGACGACAGAGAGAAGAGGCGAAAGAGCTCAATGTCGCTCATGGTTGGCTTTAGATAGTCAGCGTACACGGCCATGGACTGGTGGGTAATGTAGTAGTAGGCCGCGACCCTCCCAAGCGGAGTCACTTGAAACGCGCCCGTTTTCCGGTCATACTTGATCAGGTTGTTTTTATCCAACGTGCTGGCCGCCGTATGTACCAAGTCGGTTCGTCGCTGTTCCAGTAGAGGATCCTTCTCCGCCTCGTCCACCCCGACCCCATACAAGGTAGGATTCCGAAGCATGCGCACGTACAGGTAGGTGTAGCCCAGCCAGTGCACGGCTTCTCGGAGGGTCTGTACCGAGCCCAGGACGATCTCCGCATTCATGTTGTCGGTCAGGCGCTTCACGTACTGGGACTCGACGGGCAACTGCCGGTTCATGAGGGAGAGGTAGTACTGGAGCTCCGAGTGCTGGGTGATGATGATCCCTTCGCCCGAGGAATCGTACTGGGGACGCCCGGCCCGCCCCATCATTTGCATGATATCCAAGGGGGAGAGCTCGGTCCACCGTCCCTTCTCCGGGTTGTAGATTTGCGTGCCTTTGATGATGACCGTATGCGCGGGGAGGTTCACTCCCCAGGCCAGGGTGGCGGTCGACACCAAGACTTGGGCATGTTTGGCCGCAAACAAGTCTTCCACGGCTGTCCGGTCCGCGCGGTTCATTCCGGCGTGGTGGATGGCAAAGCCATAGGGCAATAAGTCTTTCAGGTCTTCGTTCTTGGTTTGCTCCGCCTCGTGTACGAGCACCGCCTTGCTAGCCCCGTCCTCAGCCACAAACTGCCCGACTGTGTCGTTTTCGATGGCCAGCTCCCGCAACGCCTTAGCGGTTTTAGCGGTCTCGGCCCGGGAGTGAACGAAAATCAACACCTGGTTCTGCCCCGCTTGTTCCAGTACCTTTTCGTAGCATATCTCGTTCATGAGTTGGAAGCGCTTGATGGCCTTCCGCTCTGTGATCCCGATGTACTGCTGCTGCAGGGGAACGGGCCGGTAGCTGTTGTCAAAGAAAAACAAGCCCTTGTCCGGGTTCACCCGCAGGAAGGTCGCCACGTCCTCGTAATTGGGCAATGTCGCCGACAGGCCTACGATCCGCACCATTTCCTGCGTGGTTTCGATCTGCCGAATGGTGCGGGCGACGATGCTCTCCAAGACCGGGCCCCGCTCGTCGTGCAGCAAATGGATCTCATCGATGATCATCAAGCGGACCAGTTGGGTGTAAGTGCGATCGCCCGCCTTCCGCGTGATGATGTCCCATTTCTCCGGCGTGGTCACGATCACCTGCGTGCTGTTGATCTGCGCCCGCGTCAAGGACTGGTCCCCCGACAACTCCCGCACCGCGATGCCAAACGGGGCCAGACGCTTCCCGAAATTCAAGACGCACTCTTGGACGAGGGCCTTCATGGGCGCCACGTACACGATCTTGAACGCGTCCAAATCCACGCTCCCGTCCTCCCGCAGGTGTTGCCCAATCTCGTTCAAGATACAGAGCATCGCCACGTTGGTCTTGCCCGCACCCGTGGGCGCGCATAGGAGGAGGTTTTCCGAGGAATAGAGGGCAGAGGAGCACATCTTGCTCTGCACCCGGTTCAGCATGGTCATGCCCTCGAAGGCTCTGTGGGTCCAGGCGGGCAGTTCCTCAATCTCCACCAGCCGCTCGTTCGCGTCCGGGACGTGCTTGACGGCCGGGACGTGCACCTCCTCGTAGCCCTTCTTCAGGGCCCGCCACGTCCCCTCCGGAAGCACCACTTTCTTGTTGCTGTTCAAGTGGCTGCCCTGCGAAAAGGACAGGGCCTCCAGGTCCAGGCTT